CCACATATAAACGACTTTGCAGAAATACTGTATTTTTGAGTACACCTGTGTTAGGTATCTCTTGATGAAGAACTATGCCGTCTTTCTAAATAAACAACCCAGACACAACTTTTTTCATAAGGCAGCGAGCCCCAGCGTGCAGAGCTTGGGTGAGAAGCATCCGCAGAGCCTGGGAACTTGTTAGAAATACGAATGATTGAGGCCGTTTTCCAGATCTGTGAGTCAGGATCTGGGGGTGGGGAGGGGCAGCAGCCTGAGATGTGACGGTTCATTCCGTGGTGGCTTCACTTCCGAGAGCCAGGAAGGCAGTTGATGGTGTTACAGGTAATGATGCCTCTCACGTAGAGGTTACGCTCCCCCGTTAGGCTCACCCCACAGTGTAGGAGACCTTAGTCCCCTTGACCTCTAAGCACCTGGTCAGCATTAATGTGAACTGAGCCTTTTGTTGTTTTTTTTTTTGAAGCCAAAGGCAGCATTTTACGTTAGTCTTTTGGATAAAAGCTTAGAGCACTCCTGGAGGGCAGTAGTAATAATGTAAGCATCATAATTACGTGCTTATAAAGAGGGAGCACAGGCCTTTTGGGGTGTGTTTGTTGGGATTTGGGCCCTTAGTGGGGGTGGTGTAGTGGGGGGAGGGGGCAGCAGACCAAGCTCCCTTTCCTCGTTTCTCGGGGGGACTTGTATCCATGTGGTCGCAGGTGGCTCTGCGGGGGGCGGGGGGGAGGTCAAGGCCATGCCCTTCCACTTGTCCTTGGAACATTTCACTCCACAGAGTCACCATCGGCGTGACCACATGCAGCTCCTTAACCGTCTACTCCTCCCTGTAGACGGTGGGGGAGTGGGTAGAGAGGGCGGGGGAGGGACCCTGAATGGTCTCTGATGCGCGGTAATTTCTACCTGTGTGCCTTTCACATATGCGGTGTTGAGTTCACGGTCAAGTGCCCTGTGATAAAATCATAGGAGGCTGGGTTTCAGGCGTGCAAAATCACTGTTGGCCTTTTATAAACGCACTCTAAATGACCCCAAATTTAATGGTTGCTGAACTAAGGGAGATATGTGGACATTTGTCGTACTTCTGTGTCTTCGCATTTTCTCGTAATTCAAGGAAGCTTTGGTACGCTGAAACATAGCCTTGTATGTGTAAGTATTTAACATATGATAAAGACAGAATGTGGAGAGCCAAGGGGATACAAGTGGATTATTGCCTGGGGGTGTGGTCAGATCAGGTGCACCTCACAGAATATTTGAGCAGAAATTCCCCATGTGTTAAAAAGTTAAGGGTAAGCCCTGAAATCCCGGACAAATTAGATGTCTGGTGTCTCGGGTTGGGGGAGGTGAGGATTTTTTAAAACCGCAATGTTTATTTTTTATTTAGAAAATTTTTTAATGTTTATTTATTTTTGAGAGACAGAGCATGGGCAGGGGAGGGGCAGAGAGAGAGACACACGCACAGAATCTGAAGCAGGCTTCAGGCTCTGAGCTGCTAGCACAGAACCTGACACCAAGCTCGAACCCACGAACCACGAGATCGTGACCTGAGCTGAAGTCAGACGTTTAACCGCCTGAGAACCCCAGGCGCCCCAGGAATTTGCTCTTCAAAATCCTGTTTGCATCCCGCGGAGCTTCTGGGCCAGCTGTCCCCAGTAAGATTTGCTCCCCCGACTGAGTCTGCCGGAAGTCATTTTCCATGAAATGGTCTGTCCTTCTCTAAATTTTTTTTTTTTAGTGTTTTTATTTATTTTTAGGAGAGAGAGAGAGACAGCGTGAGCAGGGGAGGGTCAGAGAGAGAGGGAGGCACAGACTGAAACAGGCTCCAGGCTCTGAGCTGCCAGTCAGCACAGAGCCCGACGCTGGGCCCGAACCCACGAACCGCGAGATCATGACCTAAACGAAAGTCGGACACTTAACCGACTAAGCCACCCAGGCGCCCCTGGTCTGTCCTTCTCATAGCAAACCTATCTTCTCCCGTACTTTCTGCTTCCGTAGGCACTGCCTGGGTCCCGTTACGTGGGTAGGCCTGGCTGTGGCAAGTGACGCGCTTTCTTCCAAGAACCTGCCTCCCGGCTGTGACAAGATTGCGCTTTGTGAATGTTGGGGGGCCCTGGGTTGCACCCGTCCAATTCCTCCTGAGCGTGTTTCCTTTTCTCCCCCTGCCCCTTGCTGACTTAACTCAGACGTGCGCCCCCATTGTTTTGATCTCAGTCCTGTCCCTGTCTGTCTGTCTGTCTGTCGGCCCGGCAGCCTGGCCTCCGGCTGCCAGAGCAACGTTCCTGCAACAGATCTGATCACTTCAGTCCCTGGACCGAGATCCTGCCCGCAGAGTGGACCGCAGGGGTTTGGGTCCCCGCTGGGGCAGAACATTCTCCTCTCGCTGGGGTGCAGCCCTGAGTCTGTTCAGGCAGACCGTGTCCGTGGTGTTTCCTGTCGCTTGCGGGCTTGTAAGGCGTCAGTGCGGGCCCCTTGCCGGAGTGCGCTCTGTGTGCCCCCAGTGTCCCACCTCCCGTTCCCTTCAGCTGCGCCTCCTTCTGCCTCCAGGTTTGGGTGGTGCCCCTGACGGCCCCCAGCGGACAGCCGTGAGGGAGCGGTGTTTTCCAGAGCAGGCCCGTCTTCCTCGCTGTGTGTGTGTGCGCCGTCTGGGTGCCCCTGGACTCAGCAGGCATTGTGTCCCTGTCCGCGTGATCCGGTGCCCTGTGAACTCACACACGGTTCCCCCACTGCTGTCGGGGGTGTGTTTTACCCTGTGGGCTCCCTACATGTGTTCTTGAAGTGGGAGTGTGTTGGCTGTAGGGCGCCAGGTGGGACGGCCACGCTTGCTTGTTGACGTCATTGGCTGTAGGGCCCCTGGCTTGCTTTTCAACATGTGGATCCTCTGCAGATTGCACTGGACATTGCTCCTTTATACCAACGACACTAGAGAGACTGGTGGCTACTCACCCCACCGTAAGATCCAGGCAGGAGAGCTTGTGAGTCACCCTGGCGGCCTCCCCTTCCATTGTCTGGTCCGTTGGGTGCAGCCCGACAGGGAGGAAATCTCCAGGGCTGTGTCTCCCCATAAATTCGAGCATCTGTGTTGTAATCGGGTTTGGGAAAGAACTCTCCTAGGACAATGCAGTTCTGCCTCTCATCCTGAGGGTTATTTTAGCAGCCTGATGTTGGCGGGGTAAAATTAGCCAGCCTCAGTGTAAACGTGCTGGCTTTGCCAATGCTCTCCATTTTAAATAATCTTGGCACCCATCTATCTGTTGAACGGGTTCCTTTATTTAATCCTTCATTTAAAAAAATTATTTAAAGAAAAACACACCCAGTTCCTATTTAGATTTAAGCTGTTCTGAAGGCACCCAATTTTTTTTTTTTTTTTTTTGCACCGTCTGTCTTAGTCTTTGCTGGAAGTTGGGATCAAGACTGGTTTGCCCCCCGCTTTCTCTGCCCCGCACAGCGTGACAGTGAGCGAGTGGCATTTACGTGTCCTTTCTGTGATTTGTAAATGAACCGAAGAAACCATTTTGTGTCTGGTACTCAGCCTTTTGGCCTGGGCTCTCCTCTTTTCTGGGACAGCCTGACTTCTGTTGTTTCGCTGGTCCTGACTTCTGCCCCCCACACCACGCGCCCTCATTTTGCTTCAGAAACTGTGATAAGCACCTTCGTTCTGAGAGTGTGGAATGAGTAAGAGATAATCTCCTTGTTGTTTACATCTGCCTTGTAACTTGTCGTTTCCTTTGCCTATTCGTGTCCTTACCTTTGCACTGGCAAGATGCACAGGTTGTCATTTTGAAGACCCAGGGTGGATGTTTTTATGGTCCCTTCTCTAAAACAGGTATTTCCTTTCTTTGTATTTTGATTGAGAGGTGTCTTCGGATTCCCCTCCCCCCACAGTGTCTGGCATAGTATTTTATATAAACAGGTGGATAATAAATGCAGCAGGATTAAATTCCAGCACCAGGTATCCAATACGCTTCCCGTCTCCTCCCGTTAGAGGTTTCTGCCTTTTCCCTGCCTTTGCACGCTTGGCGAGTGCCCTTTTCTGAACTTTAATTTTGACAAGACCTCAAAATAATTTTCCAGGAAAGTAAACTGAATAGCACCAAAAGGGATGCGTGTCTGTGCACATGTGTTTGTATGTGTGTGTGTGTGTGTGTGCGTGTTTGCATGTGTGGTATTCTTAAAAGGTATTTTACTTTATGTGAGTGACAAAGTACTCTATTTATAGGTATAGAGGCACTATCCTTTTATTCATCCATCCTTGCTATTGTGCTGGTTTGCACTTTCATCTAGCCATGAGATAAAAGCAGATGCTGAATGAGTGGACGACTTAGAAGCCCACATGGCTGTGTGTAACCACCAGCGTGGTCAGCGGCCGACTCTTAGGAGTGGTGTGCCCGGCTCTTTCCTGGGCCGTAACAGAGATGAGCTAAATTGTAGGTTCTGCGAGGGGCGCCTGTAGTTTTATCTGTTTTTCCATCTGTCGTGGCAGAACGCAAGTAAGTGAAGGTGCGCCATGCTTTTAGAGGAAAAGTCTAATTGGTCAAAAAGTGCATTTGCAGACATTGACACTTGAACTGGGTTTGGGGCCCAAGCATTGGTTGGGACACAGCAGACATCTCACCTGTGTGTGAGGATGCAGAGGGAGAGGGGCTTGCTTCTTCACAGCATCATGAGAGGGGAGCAGAAGGGTGGGTGGCGGACGGTCTTGTCAACACTACTGAAGTGGGTTGGGGGTCAGAACGTAGATTCTATTGGTGAGAAGTATGTTCCTCTCAGCCATGATCATGTCCTATGTGCAAGTCGTGGTTTTGCTAAGTGGGGACCTCCTTTGTTGATTGTGTGTAGATATGAACTCTTTAGTCTTTATTTCTGGTATTTTCTATCATGACATCGCAGCCTGCATGTTATAATGACACGGCAGCAGCTCTGATAAGACACTGTTATTTTTGGAGCCTTTAAAAACCAAGGATAATCAAGGTGCTCTGATTTTTTTTTTTTCCTTTGTTGGCTGCCCTCAGGTAATTCTTCCTGGAGGATGCATTAGGAGAAGAGGACCCTTACTCGTTAGGCATGGAGAGCAGTTTTTCAGTTTCCAACATGCAAGACCCATCCGCTTCACCCCTGGAGAAACAGCAGAGCTCAGCGAATGGTAGTGGAGGTCTCGATTCAGGTAAGAGTTCGTTTTCTGGGTCTATCTGACTTTTTTTCTTAATTTATTTTTTATGTTTTATTTATTTTTGAGAGTCAGAGAGAGACAGCGTGAGCAGGGGAGGGTCTGAGAGAGAGAGAGAGACATAGAATCTGAAGATAGGCTCCAGGCTCTGAGCTAGCTGTCATCACAGACCCCGACGTGGGGCTTGAACCCATGAACTGTAAGATCATGACCTGAGCCAAAGTCAGACACTCAACCAAATGAGCCACCCAGGCATCCCACTATCTGACTTTTTGATTCAGTGACTCGTGTCTTCCCAAAAATGTTCGGGAAATAATGTGGCAGACGTTTCTAGGTCTCTCACATTGCCCATGGCTAGGATTTGCTGTCACGTTTGTAAGCATATGTCCACTTGGAAGTTATGCAAAGTTTGGCTCAACATTAACATTACCTATACTGGACAGAGAGAGGTGGGTGACCTTGCGGTGACAATTCCCTTCACATTCTCAGTGGTTAGCATGGTAAGTGTTGACCGCTCATTCATGCAATTTCAGACGAGGTAGTTGGCGTTCCTTCTGCTGAGTCATTGCACACCGTTTTACGGTGCACATGTCCTGGGGTGGGCGGATTTGTTACAGGGTGAGCAGAGCTGGGGGGGTCCCGAATCAGCAGTGAAATGCTCTGACTCAGAAGATGTAGCCGTTACTTTTGCTCAGAACCTCTTGACCAGAACTGTCATGTGTTGGCACCACCGTAAGGGAAATGGGAAAACCATCCTTCTCTCCCACATGCCCAGAGAGACAGGAGAGCCGATGTGCCTGAGCTCTGGACGCCACCCCTTCTGTCTCCTCTCCAGAACCTTGAGCGAGTCTTTCGAGAACTACTTAGCCTGAAAGAAACGTAGGTCGTGTGAATGCGTGGTGAAGTCTATCTCCCGTTAAGGAAACTAAAACAAAGCAAACCAAGCCAGTCTTTGATTGAATTTTAATATTTAATCAATGGATTTATAAAGCATGTTTCTCTAAATACTTACACAGGAGTCTGTTTTAAAAAGACACTTTTTTTTTTTTAAAGGATTGCCCTATTTGCATAACAGCAGATTAAATAAGAGCAACGTAGCTATTTGGATTCTGAACATTTGCTGTGGTGAATTCATGTAGAAAATGTTGATCCTTAATCCAGTGGGAGATTTGACCGTTGTCCAGAGAAGTCACGAAGTTTGTCTCCATGTTTTGATGAGTGCAGTCAATGGCAGACTTACAGGTTGCTTGGTCTCATCAACCTGATTACATCAAACTTCTCAAATCGTATCTTTATCTGCAAAAATCTGGAACCCCCCGAAATTATTGCCTAAATGTGTTGAAAGATGTTAGTGTCTGCTTCAGAATCAGCCCATCCCTCTACTCCCACCCCTTGTGATTTTTCTGTATGGAAGCCAGAGTGAGAAAATGTCTAGAAGCAGAGTTGAGTCATTGTCCCACAGTGGAAGTATGGAAATTCTTTCCTGAGGAAACTCCGTCCTATAGGCTTGATGCTATTTAAGTACAAGTTCGCATTTTATACAAGTGTCTTACGCTTCCTGAATGGGGTTACGTTTCCACTTAGGGTTTACTGGGCTTTCACCGTGTCTCTGTCGAATGCACATCTGATGTCTGTTTCTGCGTCATTTTCAAAGGTGTGTTTTCAAAACTGTTTAAAAACCAATTGTGTGTTGACTTTTCATTTTCTTGTAGCTGCAGTAGATCTCTCTAGCTTAAGTAGAGTTTGAAACCCAGCAGTCGTAATATGGTGTCAGGAGAATTATTTGTACTGCGTTTCCTCCAGGCTGATTCCTCCAGGGAAGTATGAGATTCGTGCCGCGATGTGCTTGGGCCGAACCTGGCACCCAGTACATGCCCTGCGTGGTGGCTTCCTTGCTCGCGTGTGATAGTGGCCTGAATCGTACAAGACGTCAAGATCTTTAAAAGAAGTTGTAGTTCTGGGACGCCTGGGGGGTGCACTTGCTTAACGATTCTTGATCTTGGGTCAGGTCATGATCTCACGGTTTCGGGAGTTCGAGCCACGAATCGGGCTCTGTGCTGACAGCGTGGAGCCTGGTTGGGGTTCTCTCTCTCTCTCTCTCTCTCTCTCTTACTCTCTGCCCCTCCCCTGCTCCTGCATGCTCTCTCCCTTTCTCAAAATAAATACATAAACTTAAAAAACAAAGAAGTAGTAGTTCTGAGTAGCTTTAAATTATGTTAGCATTTTCAGATAGTGGTCCCAGAGCTTGTCCCCTGCATGTGGCGGATCTGTCCTTTCTTCTTGGAGCTCCCATAAGGTCTGGCCTGGAGGGGACTTGCAGATGTGCCAAGAAGAGGTCAACTTAAAGCAGGGTCTAACATAAATCTCTGTAGAGAGCAGAGGCCGACCTGCGGAAGAAACCCACATGGAGTCCTGAACATTTAGCCCCTTGAGAACGTAGTCTCGTGGGGGTCGTCAGGAAGTGTATTTTCTCCAGCGGTGCCCCTTTAAGCTGGTGACACATAAAACAGTTTCTGTGTTGGCACAGTTGGCGTGATACGTGGTTTGGGACCCACGGTGACAGGCTTATGGTAGCAGGTCATCTTGGTGACAAGGCTCTTTGGCTCCGAGGCGTTTCGGATGAGATTTCCGTACGGAAGAACAGGAGAAGCCGCGTTGGGTGTTCTGCTGCTTCCGTTCCTATGTTGACTTGGGACAGTGGGGCGCGTGAGCCTGAGTTCACACTGTACGGCGGCCACTCACCTGAGTACGTTACATTGACTCAGTTTACCCTTCCATGACCCAGCGAAATAGCTGGCTTTCTTATCTCCGTTCTTAGAGGAGGACACTGGACCCCAAGGGAGGTCATGTGTCTCTCCTTTTGGAGCCAGGCTTTCATTGCAGGCGTCCTGAGTCTTGGAAGTCGGTTCCTGGAGACCCTGGGCCATCCCTGCGCTTTCGTACAAGGAGACGTCCCCTTGGCCTGTAAATGTGCACGTGAGCCTCCCCCCTCCCCCCACGCACACAAACACTCCCTGGGACTCAGGCACAACCCAGCCTCTCGTGTGCTGTCCCCTCTCCCCACGGATGACATGACACCTGCCTGTAGCTCGCCAGCACGTGACTGCACGTGGGTGCCCAGAGCGCTCCTCTGCCCGCGCGATGGGGCCAGACCACGGCAGCCTCACCCGGCCACTCCTGGCTGTTTTGAGCTCCTGCTTGCGCACCGGACGCCTGGCGGACGCCATTCCTCGCAGCGACGGTCCGTCCATCTGATATGAGAACTTGAGCGCAAGACAGTGGACTCTGAATCTCATGAACAGCTTTTTTATTTTCCATTTTGCCTCGTTTCCTAAGGAAAGCGCAGACAATACTCGGGCTGGCCCTCGAGTCCTGTAAGTGAAACAGGCACCGTAGAAAAGTCCTCCCCTCCCAGAAACTCCGAGGCCATGGCCGGGACAGGTGCCGGTGGATGGACCGGAGGGCCTCCCCGGCAGACAGACAGACGGCAGCGACTCCGGCCGCACAGAGACGGCCGCGGACCGGAACTGGGTTTCTGGAAGCCGAGGCTTCTCCAGCTGTGTGATAAATGCAAGCGGAACACTATGCAGACACAGTGATAAATAGACTCCTGGACGTCACTTTTCCAGGCCGCTAAGTGTGACTCCCTGAAGAGGTCTGTGGATGAAGCCGTGTTGCACGTTTAGAAAGGGCAGGCCTCGGAGGAAAGAGGTCGAGGCTGGAAACGTGGGCTTGCATTTTTTTCCCCTTTATTTTGGTGTTAGGAATACATGAAGTGGAGTCCCGCAGGCTTTTCAACATTCTTATTAGAAAAATGCAGCTTTCTTACCCTTGGTCCCTGGAGCTGGTGCTCTGTGACTCCATAGTGTTCCCTGGTTAAACAACAACAACAAAAAGGAGGGGCGCCTGGGTGGCTCGGTTGGGTGAGTGTCTGATTTCTGTAAGGTCATGATCTCATGGATCATGGGTTCGAGCCCCACATCAGGCTCTGTGCTGACAGCTCAGAGCCTGGAGCTGCCTCAGATTCTGTCTCCCTCTCTCTCTGCCCCCTCTGCTCACACTCTGTCTCTCTGTCTCTCAAAAATAAACACACATTAAAAAACAAACACAATAAAAAAGCAAACAAAAGACCAAAAAACCCCTCTTTTAGAATATTTATTGTCCACTCCACCACCCCCACCCCCTGCTAGGTGATTGGATGGTTTCTATGTGTTTTCTTTTTTCTGAAACATCACTCTGGCCGCCTGGGTGGTCGGATGGGTGTGAGGACGGATCTCTGTGTTCAGTGACTGTCCCCACTTCCCTCGGGTCATCCTGCAGCTGTGAACTCAGCCCTTGGATGGGCCTTCCCAAGCTTTGTTCACCCTGTGTGTCTATTTAAAGTACTCTGCGGAACTACTTTTTTTTATTTAAAAAATTTTTTTAATGTTTATTTATTTTTGAGAAGGGAGGGAGGGGCAGAGAGAGAGAGGGAAACACAGAACCCAAAGCAGGCTCCAGGCTCTGAGCTGTCAGCACAGGGCCTGATGAGGGGCTCGAACCCGCGAACCGCGAGATCATGACCTGAGCTGAAGTTGGATGCTTAACCGACTGAGCCACCCAGGCGCCCCTGGAGCTTTTTTTTTTTTTTTAATTTTTTTAATGTTTATTTTTGAGAGAGAGAGCAGGGGAGGGGCAGAGAGAGAGGGAGACACAGAATCTGAAGCAACCTCCAGGCTCCAAGCTGTCAGCACAGAGCCTGACGTGGGGCTCAAACTCACAGACTGTGAGATCATGACCTGAGCTGAAGTCGGATGCTTAACCGACTGAGCCACCTAGGCACCCCTGGAACTTATTTTTTAAGCCCTGTGATCGTGTGACCGGACTGTCAGCAGGTGAAACAGCAAAGATTTAATGTCTTCCTTTCTCTTCCCCTGTTTGTGAAGAACATCTCACACATGAGGACCTGACCTGTTCAGATGTCATTCAGTCTGAACCTGCCGATTCTCCCGTGTTGGGTCGTTCGCGGCCAGGGACTGGAATATGCAGCCTCGCAAAGGTAGCCTTATTGCAGACAGTAAAGTCAAAACCCCGGGTTTAATTCCTCCAGAAAAGGTGCGTGAGCCGTTTGTTCATTCATTTTCCACCAGAGAGTGGCTGGCCCCTCAACGTTTCTTGTTCTTTTTTGATCTGTTACGAAACGCGCTGGTCGCGTCAAGAGCCTTCCGTTTTGCAGAACTGGATTGTTTTCTTTTAAATTGTGAAATATTCTTGGTGGCGTTGCACGGTCTGTTTTCGTGACCTCATGGGGAAAAGCGGTTCCCACTGGTGCTGTGCCTGAGGAGGGAGGTCGTCAGAATTTCCCTGATAACATGTTTATGGGCTTAGGAGGTTTATGAATCCGCTGTAAATATTTGCTCTGGGTTTATGAGACCTCAACTCATAAACAGCGTGTGTGTTTATCCATTGCTCATTGAAACGTCTTCAGAGAATTGGCTGTTGAGGATGCGGGGGTGGGGGGTGGGTGGGGAACTCTAGGAGTTACAGGTTGGGAAAGGCTTGTAGGGGAGCCTGACTTTTGTACATGGTTTTCCTGTGAAAACTACCAGTACTGGGCATAAAAGCTTTAGTTTTTAAAATCCCATTCCGGGTCTGACTTTTGGGTTTTTTTAAAAGTATGTTCTCAGGGGGATCCTGGGGGCCTCGGTCGGTTAAGCATCCGACTTCCGCTCCGGTCATGATCTCACGGTTCGTGGGTTCGAGCCCCGCGTCGGGCTCTGTGCTGACAGCTTGGAGCCTGGAGCTGCTTCGGTTTCTGTGTCTCCCTCTCTCTCTGCCCCTCCCCCACTCACACTCTGTCTCTATCAAAAATGAATAAATGTTAAAAAACATTAAAAAAAAGTATTTTCTCTGGACTACAGAGAGGAAAAACTCTCTGAAAAGGTGTTCTGTCTTTTTTTTCCTTTAACTCCCAGTTTGTTTATTTTTGAGAGTAAGATGACCAGGGAAGGGGCAGAGAGAGGACGGGGCAGAGGATCTGAAGCAGGCTCTGCGCTGTCAGCACAGAACCCTCTGTGGGGCTCGAACTCACGAGCCGTGAGCTGGATGCTCAGCCAACTGAGCCACCAGGCGCCCCTGAAGCGTGTTCTCATCTGGGGAACTTGGACGAGCCCCCGAGGGAGCGTGAAAGCATCTACTGCCTGTGTCCCGCAGGAAGAGAAACATGGTGTGTACTGAACTAAAGTCGGGTGAGAACGGAGCGCTGGGTAGAACGGCCTCAGCGGAGGGCCGCTGTGTGAGGCAGGGCGCATCGCGGGGGCCGCCCCAAGGCCGAGGCACGCGAGCCAGGGTCTCGCCCTCACGGCTGGTCCCAAGTGACCGATCCCGGTCCCCTCCGGGCGCCGTGACGGGGGCCGTCGACGGCCCGCAGGCCCAGGCAGTGGCTGCTGTGGCCTCCGTCTCCGGGCAGACGGTGTCGGGGTGCCGCCACTCCCCAGGGGGCCCTTCATTGTCGGGAGCCGTTCACTCACCCAGCGGCTTTGCCAGGACCCTCTGCCTCCAAAGGCCCGAGACCGGCTTTTCTGCCTCGTCCTCCCCCTCACCATGTCCCCCTGCAGAAAGAGTCCAGGGGCCCCTCGCGCCCTGTTCTCGCCCAGCCCTGCTGCTGCCTCCGCCTTGCCGCGTCTCCTGCATCTTCCTGCTGCCTCGCTTGGTTCTGGAATGTTCTAACGGTCACCGACACAGAAGACCGAGCAGCTGGCCCTGGAGTTGGCCTGGGATCCTCCTAGAGGAGGAATGGGTGGTGGTGGAGAAGCGGATTTGCCCCTGTGGGGTCAGGCAGAAGGGTGACCAAAAGGCACCGGCAAGGTGTCCCGGCGCCGAACCAGACAGCCTGGGCTGGATTCCGGCCTCTTGGCGGGACAGTTGGGTGGCCCTGGTGACTCCGTGGCCTCTCAGGGCTCCCGTCTTCTTTCTGTGAGGTGGGGACAGTAGGAGGTGGCAGCCAGGGTCCTAGGAAGCACGAAACGGGGTGATGCCTGCGAAGCAGTTAGCAGAGAGCGAGAGTCCGGGTCACCGTAGCCCTGACCGTGGGGTGGCTCTGCTGGGCTGCGTGTGTGACCCGCAGCTGGCGCGGGCTGGGCCTGCAGGTGTTGCTGGCTGAGCTGAGCCGGACAAGCCGTGTGTACGGAACTTCCAGACTTTTTTGCGACTAGTTAGCCTCCAGTCAGACACCCCGCCAAGCCCCTGAGCGGTGAGTGGTGTGCGGGGTGCCTCTGGCCAGCCACGAAACAGGCTGGTGATGGATGACCTCGGCCTTTTGGGGAAAGGAATTTGAGGGTCAGGCCACGCACCGGGTGGCGCCCCCCGGAGGTACTTTCCAGAACGGAACTGAGTCTCAGCACTCTCTCCTTAGCTGGCGGCTGGAGGACCCGATGACTTTTCGGGGAGCCTATCTCCCGACGACGGAAGGACGTAAATCCTTTGATGAAGCAGAGCTTTAGGAGGACAACAGGGGAGAAAGGTTTTTATTTTTCTTGGACGTTTGATTGCAAACCCCTTGATGGGGGTAGAATCCGAGGAGGCAGGGCTAAGCGACTTTGGTTCAGAAGACAAAATTTAAGGTAGCTGCTTTCAACCTCGCGTCACCTGGCTTTACAAAAATTACCTTCTGTCAATTTCGGAGACGCTACGGAGTCGGGCAAGGAAATCACTTTTCCTACTGACAACTAAAGAGATCTCCAGTAAGAAAAGCTAGCGAGAGCCCTGTAAGAACAAGGCTTCCTTTCTTCATCTCCAGTTGCTGATTCCGCTGGCTCGCCTGATAGATATTCCATTAATAACATGACTGAAAGCGGTATTTATTCTTGGCCCATTGACGTAGGTTCTTGCTTCTAGAAGGTATAGAGGTTGAACATCAACATGCATCGGTCGGTAATACAAGAAAAAAGAATCCAAGCTTTGAAGCTCTTGCGTGTATGTGTGTGTGGCTGTCCCCCACTGCTCTGCATTCTGTACGATCGGCCTTGCAGGTAGGTTAAGATAATGTCTACGGCTTATTAGTTCTTTCCATTTGAAACGAGGGCATAATATTGTTATCTATGCTTTAAGATGAGTTATTTGGTGCTTTTTGACTACAGAGAGCGTATCTTACAGTCTTCAATGTTTGGAGAATTGTTTGACAGCTGGTTGATTTCTGTCACCTGCTGGGTGACCTCACATCCCTGAGCGATCCTTCTGGACTTCAGATACTTTTCTCCTTGGAATAGCATCAGGGTCAGTGCTTCCTGATAAGGTCTCTTACAACATTAATGGTCTATGCTGTTGTTTCATAGCCTCCAACTGTGGGGAGTAACCAGCGGTCCGAGGGGCTCATCTATACATCTAGGTGCCTCCCCAGTGCCCGCTGGTCTCCTTCATCTGGTCCCCCAACCTCACCAAAGCATGACGTGCCCACAGTGACAGTGGCTGACTCTAAGTGAACATACTAAGATGCTCGACTGTGCCCCGAAACAAGCCTTGTGACTTTCATTCGCCTGAGAGCACGTTTAATTTCACCCTTGGTTTTGCCAGGGTGGCTCCCGTAGAATTTCTCCAGTGTTCCCTTTCCACAGTCAGCACGCGGATGCTGGGCGCGTTACGGATTTCCCGCTCTTCCCCTATGGCTGGTGCCCTTCCATTCTTCACTCTGGTGGTGATACTCTTCTGTTGTTGTTTTTTGTCTTTTTAACAGAAGAAGGTTCAAGCCTGGAGGAGATTGGCTTTAACTGGGGAGAGTATCTGGAAGAAACGGGAGCCAGTGCAGCGCCTCACACGTCGTTCAAACATGTACGTAACATGCCTTCCCTTCCTGCATTTGGAGGGAGGGGAGGCATCTGCGGGAAGGTGCCAGCCCTTGGGGAAGAGACGGGAAATCGAGCCAGGGTTTCTCAGAAATCAGGAGGAGATGCGACACGTGTCTGTTAGCCTTTCGCAGGTAGCTGCGAGGAAGGTGGGCCTTGTCCTTGTACGTTATCTCTCCTGATGACAGGGGCTGGGCCCAGGGTGGGGGCAGGGAGTCAGCATGTACCCTGGGCTTGTTCTGTGCCCTAAAGAGGCTGAGTAGACAGTCGTGGCCCTTGCTGTCCGAGGTCACACAGCCTGAGACTGGTGAGACTGATGTGAACAAAGAGCCAGCAAATGAAGCAAGTACGTGTGATGAGTACTATCATCTTAGGAGGTGTGACTGCTGTATATTATTTGGTATTGATATTATTTTGAAAGGACACCTAAAAGTCTTGTAGTGGTTTGTGGGCCGCCGAGTGAAGTTAGAGGGAATCCCTGTAAATATTCAGAACACATTTTATTCAACCAAAAAAAATCATTTGCACAGTAAGATTTCTTTGAACAATGCAGAGAGGGCGCCCAGCCCAGGGCAAGTCCCAGGCAGTGAAAGACTGAGGTTTCACCCGAGTTTTGCTGTTGGATGAGATTTCGGGAATATATTCATTAGCAAGGGAAAGGCTGAATTTCCAGGACCCGGGACAGTTTCTTTACTGGAAATGAAAATTTAATTCCAAGATACATTTTTTTTTTTTTTCTCACCGGGCAATGATTTAGCCCGACAATGACAAGCAAACCGGGGGCACATTTCCAGCCTGTTCTTGTTTTTGGCTGTTTTGCCTCTTCAGATTCTGGGACGACTTGGCTGGGTCCCTTCAGGTGGTTATGAAAGACCTACTGATCCACAGACTCTTCCTCCCTCTCCGTACCAGGAAGTTATCGCTGTCTCCGCACAGAGAGCCACCATTCTCTTTAATCTCATTTCTCCCACGTCCCCCGCAGCCACAGCGCCCTCTCCTGGAGGTGCAGTTTCCCCAGGCCCATGTGCAGGGTTTAAAGGAAAAGTGGTGTAGACCCGTGGACAAGCCGTGTAGGATTCCCTCATTTCTCACGCAGCTGCTGCTCACAGATCTCAGATGTGTTAGCTTTCGAATTTATGGCCCACCTGGCTTTTCAGGGGAGGGCTGGTAGCTACTAATAGGCTGGGACCCTTAATTAAAAGAAAAAAAAGAGAAGGAGGCCCATTCTCCACGGCTGCGCTGGCCGGTGGCCACACGGAGCTGCTGAGCGTGTGAGATGTGGGCCATGCAAACAGCGGTCCAGGGAGAAGGCACACCAGGTTTACAGGCTTCCTGGGGAAGGAACGGGGAACACGACATGGATGCTTTATGTGGGTCACACCTTGAAATGATGATATTTGGGATACGTTGGGATAAAATAAAATACGTGACTAAAATTCATTTCATCTGTTTTGTCTCGATTTTTTAACGTGGCTACTGGAAAACCTAACGTCCGGTTGGTGGCTCCCATTGTATTTCTCTTATTTCTCTTAGAACGTTCCTGTTCTAAGGCGATAGGAATGTTGTTTTTGTTCTTTATTTTTGAGAGAGAGAGAGAGCAAGCACAGGCGGGGGAGGGGCAGAGAGAGAGGGAGACACAGAATTCGAAGCAGGCTCCGGGCTCTGAGCTAGCTGACAGCAGAGAGCCCGACTCCAGCTTTGAACTCGTAAACCATGAGATCATGACCTGAGCTGGTCAGACGCTCAACTCACTGAACCACCAAGATGCCCCAGGAATGTTGTTTTTAAGTGCCCTGTTTATTTTTTTTCCAAGTTATTTATCTGGGGCAGAGGGAGAGAGAGAAAGAGAGGGAACGAGAGAGAGAGCAGAAGTTGGGGAGGAGCAGAGAGAGGGAGAGCGAGAATCCCAAGCAAGCTCTGCACTGTCCGCACAGAGCACAGGCTGGGCTTGAACCCGCAAACCGTGAGATCATGACCTGAGCCCAAATCCAGAGTTGGACGCCTTCCTGACCGAGCCACGCAGGTGCCCCTTCAGGCCTGTGCTTAGAAGCTCCTGGAATCTTCTGGGTGCGTGAGGTATAGTGACGTCTTCCCCGTGCTTCTGCTTCCCGAAGGTTGAAATCAGCCTCCAGAGCAACTTCCAGCCGGGGATGAAGCTGGAAGTGGCCAACAAGAACGACCCGGACACGTACTGGGTGGCTACGGTCATCACCACGTGCGGACAGCTGCTGCTCCTGCGCTATTGCGGCTACGGCGAGGACCGCCGCGCCGACTTCTGGTGTGACGTGGTGATCGCCGACCTGCACCCCGTGGGGTGGTGCACGCAGAACAACAAAGCCTTGATGCCCCCCGAGGGTAAGCTGTCCGCGGCCCGGGCCGCCACCGCTCGTGATGCCTGAGGACGGGCCTCGCCGAGATGCGAACACCCGTTGGGGGGGAGCGCTGGTGCTTGACTCGTGGCGCCTTGAGTGCCAGGGGCTCCCAGGGAGGGGGGCCGGGTGTGTTCTGAGGCGCCAGCCATGGCCTTCCGGAGACTAAGGCTTGGGAGCCGCATCCTCGAGTGGGTGTCGGGGGCTGAGGGAGGCCCCCGACTGAAGTCCTGTGTCCCCTCCGGAGGTGGGCTGTGTGGCCTTTCTCCCACCTTAGGGCTGCACAGTAGCACGGAGCATCTGGAAGAGGCTTCTCTAGTGAGTTTTAACCTGTCTTCTTGTGGGGACACTGAGGGTGTGAGGCTCCTAGAAAACCAAACCGATGTGGGCAAACAACCTTCTTCTTTTTTTAATTGTTTTATGTTTATTTATTTTTGAGAGAGAGACAGAGACAGAGAGACAGAGCACAAGTTGGGGGGAGGGTCAGAGAGAGAGGGAGACACAGAATCAGAAGCAGCTCCAGGCTCTGAGCCGTCAGCACAGAGCCCGACGCGGGGCTCGAACCCACGAATCGTGAGATCATGACCTGAGCCGAAGTCGGACGCTCAACTGACTGGGACCCCCAGGCGCCCTGAAACGACCTTATTCTTGAGGGAATGGCCAGAGCTTGTAGCGACAAATCCGTCCTGTCGCTGGAAAGCAGTGTTCTCCACTGGGGTCCCTGTACCCCCAGGGGCCTTTTGACAACGTCTGGAAGCAGTTTTGGTGACAGCAGAGGTGGGGGTGCTGCTGACGCCTGGTGGGAGGGCCGGGGGCCGCCAGACCCCCTCCTGGACGGGACGGTCCCCACACAGGGAGTCATGGGCTCAAACTGCCAGGGGCCCGGAAGGCGCCCCTGTGACCCTGTACGTGAGGAAAGCCGTTACCAGATACTTGAATCTCCACACCTCGTTTTCCGGGTTTGAGGACAGGGTGAGGCTTGAAGACTGAGTGCCGGTCCTCAGACCCCTAGAATGTCTTCGTATGACCGGCTGCCTTGTTCAGTCCTGACCTGATGTTTTTTAAAAAAAATTTTTTTTACATTTATTTATTTTTGAGAGAGTGTGAGGGGAGGAGGGGTAGAGAGAGATAGAGGGAGACACAGAATCTGAAACAGGCTCCACGCTCTGAGCTGTCAGCACAGAGCCTGATACGGGGCTTGAACCCACAGACTGTGAGATCATAACCTGAGCTGAAGTCGGACGCTTAACCGACGGAGCCCCCAGGTGCCCCTGAGTTGATGTTTTTATTCCGAACTGATGTGTGACATTTGGGAGCTGAAGTCCGAGGTTCTTCCTGTTCACCGTGTTGGCACTGGCTTTTCCCCAGAACTCTTCCATCTCATCTTCTGTTTAAAGTTCCGGTAGATTGTTCTTCTGATTGGTGGGAATGGTGTGGCTTGCACCTAATCGACAGCCTGCCGAGAGGCGGGCATGGGAGACAGGTGGGGTCTGAGTTGCATTTATGGGACCTGGGTGAGGCCCAAATGTGTCGCCTGGGCCTCGGCTGACTCAGGACTCCTTATTGCCTCAGACGAAAGGGAGCCGGGCCCTCTGCACCCGTTCTCTCCCATGACCCCCTTTCTGCTGCCCTGCTCCCCCTCCCCCCAGCTGGTAGCTCACCCGCCACTTCCTCAGGCGACCAAGGTCAGACCCTGCCTTTGCTCCCCAAGCCCCCGGCGCCCTTAGAGGCGATCACATTTGTGACCGTGCCCCTCCCCCCATTGATATTTGAAAAAAAAAAACCCGAGTTACAATACACATACTGTAAGATTCATCCCTGGAAGTGTGCAGCTCACTGATTTTTGATGTGGTCACAAGGCTGTGCAACCACTGTCATGGTCTTTTTCTTTTTAATGTTTTATTTATTCTTGAGAGAGATAGAGCATGAGCAGGGGAGGGGCAGAGAGAGAAGGAGACACAGGATCTGAAGCAGCTCCAAGCTCCGAGCTGTCAGCACAGAGCCCAACGTGGGGCTCGATCCCACGAACTGTGAGATCATGACCTGAGCCGAAGTCAGACGCTCAGCCGACTGAGCACCCCCACATTTTCTTTATCTATTCCTCTCTCCATGAACAGGTAGGGGGCTCTGCTGTCCCGGCTGTTGTAATAATGCTGCGGTGAGTGTGGGGGAGCAGATCCATCTTTGGCATCGTGTTTGTGTTTCCTTTGGAGAGATGCCCCGTCGTGGAATTGCTGGGTCGTAGGGTGGCTCTAGACTTAGTATCTTGAGGAACTTCTGTACTGTTTCCCAGAGCGGCTGCACACCCGGCCTCCCCACAAGCAGTGCTCGGGGGTCCCTGCTTCCCCGCATGCTCCCCGCATGTTGTCTCTGGTCTCCGTGAGGACAGCCATTCTGCCCGTCTGTGCAAAGCGATAGCTCCTTGGGGTCTTGATTTGCATCTTCCTGATGATGAGCGCTGTTGGGCATCTCTTCGCTTACCTGTGTGTGCTTCTTGGAAAAATGTCCATTCAGAGCTGCTTCTCACATTTTCTCTCTCTCTCTTTTTATTTTTATTTATTTTTTTTGTTTTTTTTCTCTCTTTTTTTAAATTGAATATAGTGGACACGCAATGTTACGTCAGTTTCAGGCGTACAACAGAGCGATTCACCTTCTCTTTCTTATGCTCTGCTCCCTACAAGTGTGGCTACCACAGTGTGGCTAAAATCTGTCCCCATGCAGCGCTGTGACAACATCATTGCCTCTATTCCGCATGCTCTTTCATCCCTACGATTTATTCAGGTCGTAACTGGAAGCTCGTACCTCCCGGTCCTGTTCACCAAATACGTGAAGGGAAATGAGTGAAGCTTCTGCTCGTTTTCAGGTTCTATTGTTTGTTTGGTCGGTTTTGGCTATTGACTTGTATGAGTTCTATATATGTTTTGGTTACTAACTTCTTATCAGATGCATGGCTGCAAATATTTTTCCCCATTCTGTAGGTTATCTTTTCACTTAAAAATATTTTTTTAAGTTTATTCATTTATTTTTGAGAGAGAGCAGGGAAGAGGCAGAGAGACAGGGAGAGAGAGAATCCCAAGCAGGCTCTGCATTGTCAGCACGGAGCCCGATGTGGGGCTTGAACTCACAGACCTCGAGTTGATGACCTGAGCTGAAACCAAGCGTTGGATGCTTAACCGACTGAGCCCCCCCAGCTCCCCAAGTTACCTTTTCATGTTGATGATGGTTTCTTTTGCTGTGCAGAAGCTTTCTAGCTTGAGGTAGTCCCACTTGTTTATTTTTTATTTTATTGCTTGTGCTTTGCATGTCCTTTCCAAAAAATTCCTTTCCAAGATTGACGTCAAAGAGATTTTCCCTCCTCCTCCCCTGCTTTCTTCTAGTTTTATGGTTTTTGGTCTTATGCTGAGGGCTGTAGTTCATTCCAAGTGCATTTTTGTGAGTGGTATAAGATAGGTTCCTTCTTTTTTAGGGGCGAATACTATTCCCTTTGCCTTGAATTAAGACAGCCGCCGAGGTGAGAAGATGCGGCGTGATATACAGTATTTCTTTTCCCTGTGGCCTCTGGCGTCTCATGAAGCAAAGCAGTCGTGACGGATGCTTCGTGCTGATGGAACGTTGGGAAGACGTCTGTGCTGTGGAGGGAATGAGAAATCCCCGGGCTGCCCCGCTCTGCACACGGAGGCCCCGTGGACGTGCCCGCACACGCTTGGGAGGGGGCTCGCCTCGCCTCCTCGCCCTCCTTGCTCACCTTATTTGTGACTCACTCCTAAAGTTTGACGCATTAGCAGCTACACACCCGTGGAAAGGCTGTACCCCGATGGTTTCACTTTATAGAATAGATTCTCTAGTGAATCATTTTGGAGACAAGTTCCAGGGTGCTGAATTTTAACACTCTTGGAGCTAATGGGTTCATTTGGTAGAAATCCATGCTGTTGCTTGAGAGAGAGAGAGAGAGAGAGCGAGGGCAGAGTTTATCAATCAATTCTTCCTTCTCACTTGGATGAAAAATGGCAAGAGTCGCAGTTTCAGAAACGCCATCAAATTTGTATCCTCCTGACTCTGCGCTATTAGGCCAGACAGAGACGCACTTAAAATGACAAATTCCCAATGAAAAATGGGAACACCCAGTCAAGGGGGAAATACATTAATGTGACCGAGCGATCTGAAGCCCACTCAAAAATAACAAGTTATGCTAATTGGAGAATTTCTTTGTGGCTCAAAGAACTTGAGAAAAAATTTAGTAGGTAATCAATATGACTTGGAAATCTTCAGCACAGAGAACAAAGTCAGGAAACATCAGGTTCACGGGGGCAAAAGGTTTTATTGATTGCTGTAGTACAGGATAATTATTGCTTTGTAGCCAGAGGCGGCCGGTGTCCCGCAGGGAACCCAAGGAATCTATTTTTGAACGAGGATTCTTGTTTGTGTGGTTTTCTGTCTTCGAGAGCTAATATCCTTATAAATTCTGGAAATGTACCTGGTCAGTGTTTGTCGTGGTTCAACTTGAAAGGCATCGTGGGGTGTTGACACAAGTTCAAGTCCACGGCACATAATGCTTTTGTTTGAGGTGCTCTGCAGTGATGGACTTTCTTTTCGTTCTCAGGAATTAGGGGGTGTTTTAAAGGGAGGAACATGGCAGCTGCAGCCAGGGCTCTGGTTCTTACCTTGCCTCTGCCGTTAATTTAGCTGCCTGGGTGAGTTGCCTCTCCATTTCCTTATCCTTGAGAGGAGGCTGTATGGTGTCTAAGGGGCGTTCCAGTCTGACGTGCCTTGGTCTGTGGTGCTCGTGAAGGACAGGAGGAATAAGGGTGCTTGTTCCCCCACGGCGCAGGGGAGAAGAGTGGGGTTTGTTTTGGAGCTAGGATCCGTGAATGTGTGTACGAAGCTCAGAAATTTCTGTGTTACTGCTGGGGTAATTGCGTTTCAGTGGCCTGGGGGACAAACAAGGCTGGGAAGTTATTGTGAGTGTCTGGGTCCTTTGTTGCCTGC